AGGCTCAGAGATTAGTGAGCTGAGGGAGGTAACAGGAGGTGAATTATGGCGGTCATGGAGTGCGAGAATGGGTGAATGGCCACAGTATGTACAGCATGGTAGGTCAGTCTCAGAATTTTGGCCTTGACTCTGAGGGAGACGGAGAATCATGTGAGGGTTCTGAGTAGATAGGGATATGATCTGCTGTACATTTTAGAGGATTGCTTTTTTGGAGAGAAGTGAAGACCAATTGGAATTTTTTTTTTGCAAGTTATGATGGCTTGTACAGGGCAGGGATTTGGAGGTGTCCATATTCTGGAACTATTTTAAAGGCAGAACTTTCTGGTTTTGCTGATGGATAAGAAGTGGGGATAAGAAGTGGGATGTAAAGACAGGAGAAAGATTTGGGTTTCAGGCTTTATCATCCAGTAGATGATCCTTTACTATTCTTTACTGACAATCCCCTCAAGGCCTTAATGGAGTTTGCCTCTCCCTACTTCCCACCACTGCTTCCCGAGGGAGGAAGATGGATTGGTTCAGGGTGGATTTGTGCACCAGCCCAATTCTGAGTCACTGGTACAAGCATGCTATCTATATGGGCATGACTGTGGGTGAGGCAACTTCCTAAAGGAGCCATTTTGACATCCTCACCACAGTGTTCTGGCTACCAACTACCCTTAAGCTTCACTGCACCCCTCTCCCCCTGTTCCAGGGACCTGGAACTCTAGCCACATTTTATCTGGTAGCATTTCCATGACTTTATGCCTTTGTTCCTGCTGTTTTCTCAATGTGGGACACTTTTTTCCCCATCTAACTATGATACTTGATATACCTCAGCTGGGAACTCTGAAGGGGTGAGGTGGGGACAGATCTAGCAGAACTAACTCTGTGGAGAGTAAACTGAGCCTGTAAAACAGGTCCTCATGATGTCCTGGTGTATGAAGGGGCTTCCATTAGACTAGGCAACTGAAAAGGACTACAGAGAATGTTTGGGGGTCCTTTCCAAATGAAAACAAGTACCCAAAGAAGGACACAGCATGAAGATGGTGACACTGTAAACAGTGGACCCTTGGCATCTATTTTAATAGGAAGGAGACCAGAAATACAACAGAGGATAAGAGATTGGGGGGAACCTGTGAAAATGTGATGGTGGGCAGGGCAGGGCTACTTATCTGGGGAGACCCAGAGACAAAGCCAAGCATGGTGCCTGTTATACATGTAGGCAGCATTCAGGACTAAATCCACTGAAAACTGGTCCAACCCAGTGCCCTGGCAACTTCTAGGAACTCCCTCACTGGGCATCAGCTAATAGGCAGGAGTTCTCTCATGCTGGGTTTTTGGAAGTTCTGAGTAGGATCTCCAAACTGGAGTGCACATCTTCCAAAGGGCACAACATTAGTTCTCATTTGGTATGAGAAGAAAACACTGGAATTTTTATTTCTATGCATCCCAACTTCAATCTTTTCTTATTTTATGTTTTATAAGATTTGTTATGTTAGTATAATAGTACATTTATGGAGAGTGTAAATAAATGGATATACATAGATTGGGAATACATGTTCAGAATTCTTTTGCAGATGGGCTATGTGACCAAAGAGGACCAAAGACATTATTTCAGGAGACTGGTGGTGAAGGCAGGGTGGGGATTGCCATTTGCTGAGGTGCAGAATAAGGAGGAGACATAGGTGAGGAGGGAGAGAGAAGAGGTTGCTGATGTGTGTGTGGGCTTCCTGCATATTCCCTAGAGGTGGCATGATATGGCTAAGGCTGGGTAAACTGACTTGGGGAAAGACACCTCTAGCATCCTGGTGGAAAGAAGTGTTTGGAAAGACACTGCCTCAGTCAAGGGAGCATCACTCCTTAGCCTGTTCCTAGGACCTGCTTGCAGTGTTCCCCTTCCCCAGACATTTCTGGCTGCACAGAGCTTCAATAGCCTATCAAGTGGGAGGATGTTCAGAGGGAAGCTGATCTGGGGAAGTTTCCTGGGGTGGAAAAAAAAAGTCTCCCAGGGGAGAGAGTAGGTGCAAGCTGGTGCCTCAGTGTTGGCAAGAGTGGGGAAGGGCTAGAACTGAGAGAATGCAGGAGGGATGGACAGAGGACATTTTAAGCATCTCTGATGCAGCAGGACAATGCTGACATCCTTCCCCAAACAGAAGCTGAGACACCAGTACAAACACATAGATACTTCATTTTCACCAGGGCCCAAGAACAAGGGTGTCGAAAACGACGGTTTTCCTTGTACTCCACCTTCAGACCCATCCAGGATACATTGGCCCACAGACGAACAGAAATCTATTCACACGCTGGAAGCCACGGACACATCTGCCAAGCCAAACTAGGCGCCCGCCCGCCCTCTCTGGGATACACCTAGACCGCACGCAGCTGCTCCCAGGGTCCAGGGACTCCGTAAGACACAGGGGGCGCGCGAGGTCCCAAGAGCCAGCTCCTGGAGTCTCTGCAGGGCTAGTATTTTCTGATCTAGAGTAAATGCAGTGCGCTTGCAGCAAGCGCCTGTGGCCTCTGTGATCTCCTTGCAGTCTTTGGGATAAAATTTCCCTCGCCTGTGTGCAACTGCGCCCACTTGGGGAGGGGAAGGAAGAGACAAAACCACAGACTTCCCCCACCCAAGTGGAGAGGGCCTCAGAGGTTGCCTCTGGAGAACCTGCACCCTAGATATGGGTGCGTAGGTGCAGCGGCAGGACGGCAAGGCTGGCCTGCTACAGATGTGCAACTCGAAGTTACTCTGAAGTTTCAGAAAGCCAGAACTCCCTGCCTCAAAAGCCAGGAGTAGGGAGGAAGGGATGCAAAGCGGCAGGCTTGTCCACCCATTGCCGGAGTTCAGTTGTTGCCCAGGGAGTCTCAGCTAAGGGTTTGGAGGGAGTCTCAGTGGGAGTGGAGTTGGAGAGGTCATTGATAGAATTATTGAGGATCATTCAGTACAAGAGGCCCGTCCCAGAGACAGGAGAGACAAACCTGGAGCCATGGGGAGTGACATACAAAATTTTATTATTATTTATTATTATTATTTATTTCTCATGTGCACAAAAAAGAAACAAAAGGGGAAAAAAAAAAGAATAAAACCGAACCGACGCACTGAATGTGGCCCAGAAGACCAGAACAGTCGGGGGACTTTTCCAAGGTTGGGACTGGTCCTGGGTCCGGGACTCCTGCCCGGCCATCCCTCAGGGACTGGGACAGATCGGGCTTCAGAGTTAGGACCTCGGCACGCTCGCCGCCTCGCTCCGGCCACTGGAGCCTCGCTGAGCGCCGGCAGTTCCCTTAACTGTTCTCTTTTCTCGCTTTCCTTTTCAAATAAAAAGGCTCGAAGGGAAGAGAGATCTGGGTGAGGACTCCAAGCCTTTTCGGATTTGTTCAAGGAATTTTATTTATTTATTTATTTATTTTCACTTTTATTGACTTTGTTTCTGTTATTTCGAGTCGTCACGATCCACGGGTGAGGAGACATGCAGGGCGCATCGCCGCTACCGAGAGAGCAACTACGGGGTGGAGCGGGGTGGCCGGGCCGGGGCCTGCGGGGCGCAGCCGCGGGGAGTCAGCCCTGGGGATGGAGCTGCCACCTCTGATCTTGCCTGCCAAGGCCGGGCAACCAGGGCAGGGCTGGGGAGGGAGTCAAGGGAAAGGCAGAGACTGAGACAATTGAGGCTGAGACGGAGACAGAGACAGAGGGAAACAGGAGGGAGATGAAAACAGAGGAGAGATGCTGGGAGGAGAGAGCGAAAACACGGAATTACAGAGAAATAGCAAACAAAACAGGCGAGAGGAGTCCACGGGACCATGTTCGTCATTTTGCATAGAGATTTCTTTTTCTTTCGTAATTTTTGTAACATAAAAAAAATGCCCCCCTCCTCCAGGATGTGCTGTGCTTCAGTGGGCGTGTAGCTGTATACCCCCTCCCCCCAGCGAGCGGCGACTCTTACTGCACAGACAGCGGGGCGTATCTACAGGCAAGGCGGACGGGCGACTGGGACTCTACTGGACTAGGCGGGGCAGGCGGAGGGGGAGGGGTTATATACACTGGGGTTCGCCTTCAACACAACACACACCGTCTTTCTATAAAGCAGCAGCCTTTTGGGTTTTGTTTTGTTCCTTTTTGCAAAGACCATGATATTAAATAAGTGTAGACCTTTTGAGGTTCTGTTCAGTTCTTGGCAGAGAGGAGGCTTAGGAGGGAGTTGGGGGAGTGGAGTGGGCAGCCCTCCACTTTCACCCCGCTGCAGCTCAGACGTCAGCTCAGAATGCGCTTCTACCGCCTACAAGTTGGAGGGCTGTGTCGGGGAAGAGGGCACCAAGTAACTGCTTGGAACATCCAACGCCCAAGGCCTATGTAATCAGGTCCTGCGGCGGGCCCCGGGATATAGCCTCTGATGGGGCGGCGAGTTAGGGACCATGGACGCAAGGCGTCATGGGACGGATAAAGGACTGGCAGGAGGGAAAAGTAAGAGGCCAGCAGATGGAAAAGACGTTGAGGTAGGGGCAAGGCAGGGCCGAGAGTTCAGTCACGAATGGGAGATACCTGGGCCCTGGGGAACTAGGCAGTCCAGGTGGAGGGAAAAGCCAAGAGCCAGGATCGGTTGGTGCCGGCCAATGGGGCCTACACGTCTTGGGGTCCCAACTTGGGAAAGACCTGATGCCCCAAAGGCCGTCCCTAGAGCCCGATCTTCACTCCCGCATTCCACCTTCTGGGGTAACGCACACCCGGAAGGCGGCGGCAGTCGGGTTGGAGCAGGTGGTAAGGAATTTTTCCCAAGGTTTCGGCAGGCAGCTTGTCCTTCTTTTGCAGAAAGTCGTTTCGTTCTTAATTTCCTTTGCCCAGACCCTCCAGAGAAGCCTCCCGGCGCGCCCGAGCGTCCAAGGCGGGTTGCTCCAGGGCTGGGCCGCACTGCAGTCCGCGCTGATTGTGTGTCACAGAAATGTATCCGGCGCGCGCGGTGGCGGGCCGGCTCCCCGGCGGCTCCCGCCAGGCCCAGCGTAGGTGGCCCGGGACCTCCTCGCCGCGCCAGGCAGTCCAGGCAGGCGGGGAGGGGCGGTGGGCGGGGCTGGGGGCGGTGGGCCCGGGCCTGAGGGTCCCGCCCGCGGCTCCACCCGTCCTGTCCGGCCTTCCACTTGGTGACGTGAAGGGCTGCAGGGGGTCTCGGGATGGGGGTGGGGCTGGAACGGTGACCGAGAGGTATCGCGTCGCGTCGGTCCTCCCTCCCTCCGGGGTGGGCGGTCAGACGGGGACGATGTGGAGGCCGAAGCTGTCGGCCTGTAGCTTGATGTGGTCCCCGCGGTAACTAGTGGCGGTCATAGGCAGCGGCAGCAGCGGCAGGGGCGGAGCCCCGGGGGGCGGCACTATAATAATAAGGGGAACCTGGAAGTTAACACAGGAGAAGAATGGGCTGGGTGAGAGGACAAACAGAACAAAAAAGGAAAGAAAAGCAAAGAAAAGACCTCCCTGGGTTGGGGTGTAGCGGGATCAGGGCTAGAAGACCAAGGGTAGGCCGCGACGCCAGTTGCCCCGGAGGAGAATTGCGTCCACGGGGAGGGAAAGGGACGCGATCGCTGACACCGGCTGCGAACCCTCTAGGGGATCGGAGAGCGACGGCGGCGCAGAGCCTTCCAGTGATCCGGAAGGGATGGAAGTAAAGGGAGGCACAGTCAGGAGGCATAGGCGTCCTCAAGGGATCCCAGGCCTCATCGCTGCCCTACCGAGTCTGTCCCCCAGGCCCAGGCGGGCACCCGGAGGTCGGGTCGCCCGGAGTAGGACCCGGGTCCCGAAGCAGCACAGCCGAGCCGGCCGGCAGCAGGCGGACGCGCTGGGCCGCTGGCCAGCCAGGTGGCGTACTCACTTAGTAAGGCGGGGTTGCTGAATCTCCAAGCCTCGTTGTAGGCGGTGTACTGAGGGTGGCTGTACGGGTTGCCGGAGAACTCGCTCCCTGCAGGAGGGTGGAGGAATGGGGATCAGACACACGAACCCCAGGGCGGGCTAGAGGATCCGGGTTGCTGATCTCGGCTCTCTCCCCCCACCCGTAGTCTGAGGCTAGGTGTCGCCAGCAGGGCAATGACCGACGGCCAGCAGGTCAGAGGCGGGGCAATCCACCTGATCCGTGTGGGGTGAACCTGGGCGGCGATAAGTATTCCTGCGCCTGGCACACCAGCGGGGAGGGGTCTGACCCCAGGTGCCCGCCTGGGCTCCCCTGCCTAGGCGCTCCAGGCCACTCAAGAAGGATTGGTTCCAGGTCCGGGTGCACCTATCTCGGTAACTTAGGGTCAAGGGTATGGCGGACACTCCGGTTCTACAAGCCATAGACCCACAGGGTGTAAGCGGGGGAGGGTGGCAAAGAGAAGCCCTAGGAACACTTTGTCCCAGAAAGTCCTAAGAATGGTATCTTAGCTCGGTGCCAAATGCAAAGTGGGTGAGGGCAGGGGGAGCTCTGTTGGGAAATACCCCCTCCCACCTTTCTCTCAAGAGGTTCAATACGTGGGCCACGCGGCAGAGGAAGGAGACCACTGCAAGCAGGGGGACTGCCCGCTGGTCCTGGAGCAGGGAGCGGAGGGCCTGGGGACTGGGAGCCTTTGGAAGCTGCCTCCCTCCCTCCAGGGAGAAAGGCCAAGCCTCTGGGTTTTCCCCTCGCCCTTTCTCCTGTGTGATGACCCCAGACTGTTTACAGTGATCCCTAACCGCGGGTTAAGTAGAGGAGAAGGGGCCCCTCTCCGAGAGGGAGCTGGGGTGGGGGTGGGGGATGCAGCCACTGGAAAGCCTGTTTATTGACGAGGAGGGAAAGCATGCGTGCAGCAGGATAATGAGCTTCTGAGCTCAACTGTGACCAAGAGGAACTGAGCTATCTCCTTCCCCATCGCTAATGAAACAAGTGTAATTTCCTCATCAGCACTAGATTCTGTTTAACGACTCCCCCCTTGCCACCATGAGCTCTCTGCAGCTCCCCTCATCCCCACCTCCCTGCAGACTACCCACCCCTACCTCCCCACTTTTCCCTCACCCCCACCTCTCTAAGACCTCCTCCAGCCTCCACCAGCTCACTGCTGGGACCTTCCCCAAAGAATCTCCTTGCCTCCAATAGTGCTTCTACTTCCCCTCCCCAAAATCTGGACAGGAACCCCTTCATCCACACTTCTAACTCCCTTTGGCTCCTATCCTATAACACTCTATAACACCCCGCCCCAAGCTCTGCTTACTCAGGGCTGTCCTGATGCTCCTGGATGGATGAGACCAATCCCTCTCTTCCTCCCCCGTCCCCACCGCCCCCACCAGTAAGAGTGAAACTTCAGGAACACAGCACACAAAAGGATGGCCAGAGGAAGTGCGCTGGAGTCTGGGGTGAGTCATACCCCTTTTTGAGACAAGAGGTTTTGGTGTTTCTGCAGATAGGAACTTCTGCTCTCTTTGGCTTCTAGCCCCAATCCCAAAATCCCAATCTAGATTGAAGAGTGGGGATAGCACGACCTTCACTTGCAGTCACCAGACCCTAAAAACAACCTCTGCTTCCCTCATCCACACAGCCCAAGCCCAATGCCTCTCAGGCAAGGGGTGGGTCAGAGCCCTGGAGGAGAAATGAGGGCCTGGGTCTTCTGAAGAGCTGTAGGGTGTTCTAGCTTCTGTCTCTGAAACCAGTCTTTGGTTCCTGCCATAGCCTGTCCTCAATTTTTCTTAGGGACTAGCTCCCTCCTCTCCCTGGATTGGGTTTGGTTCTCCACATTGATCTTCCCCTGTGGCTTGGTGTGGACCAGGGTGGCTTTGTCTGAGTGACTGACATGCCCCTGGAAATAGTTCTTAGCTCCAAGTTTCCATGGAAACCAGGGCAGGCTCTTCCAAGCAGTGTCAGCTGGCTGGGGTGGGCTGGGGCACTGAGGGCGGAGCTGAGGCACAGGAGCTGAGTGCTCCTGGGGCACAGACTCAGGTGGTTAGGTTCTGGGGAGGGACTGTGACATAAAGCCATTCACACAAGGCAACTTCTGCAAGCTTCCTCCTTGGATTGTTCATGAGAGAGGAGGAGGGGCCAACTGCAGCCTCCAGGGAGAGAGGAACAGTAACAGTGGTTGCCAGCAGAGGATGTTACCTTTCCCCTCCCCCAGCAGTGGACTACAGACCACTCAGCAGCTCACCCACAACTTAGTCACCCCACCTAGATTAGGCAGCCGCAGCATTGTCACCTACCAGGCACCATTCCTGCCAGGGTGGAGGTGGGGTAGCTTCCCTGGCCAGTAGGGGGCACGTGAGGGGGGTAACCAGGCAGAGTGGTGCTCGCCATGTCACGACCTGGAAAAACACAAAGGGGAAGGGGTGAGGCCTGGGAGAGAGAGGCCTGTCTCTATTCACACTGGGGTGCTCTAGGGAGAGGACACTCTTGGGGAGGAAGGAGCTCTGTGCAGATGTGCACCTGAAGGAGCAGGTCCCAGGATGATTTGCACAGATCTGAGTGTCTGTGTCTACCTTCAGCTGTGATTGTGCACCTCCACACTGTGTAGCTCTGTGTGTCTCTTTCTGTGTGTCTGTATGTCTGCCTTTGCTTGTGTCTGCATTCCCAACCCAGATGGGCAGAGATGACCTGGTTTTACTCCTCCTTCTCCACAAGATATTCAGCTGTGGTCTCTACAGTATCCAAATGCACCTCTATCATCTTGTGTACCTCTTCCCATCCTATAAACCCTATCTTTCCTTCAGGCTTCAAGGATATTCCACCACCACCCCTACAGGGGCTGATGGGCATTCCTTGTTCTCTCCAAGTGGAGCTGCAGGTGCTTGGCCTGGCAGGTGTGGAAGACAGGGTATCAGCCAGTAGAGTATTTTGCTGTTAGGGGTTATGACATTGAAATGATAGAAAACCATCCCTGAAGTGAATTAAGAACTTTGAGCCAACAGTACAAGGATCATATCAAGTTCCAATGAGCAAAATTTGCTGCCCCCACCAGCAGCTGGATTTCTGTTCCTAAAGGCTTCTATTAAGCTAGGGAAAGCTATCCTTGCCAGTGTCCTAGGGTGGAGGCAGAGTCTACCAATATTAGTGAGAAAGCCCCTGGTCCACAGACTTTTCTTTTGGAACACAGCTACATGTGACTGTACAAGGCCACCAGGTACCCTTCCTTGCCTGCCCCCTCATTGCTGTGATGGGGACACCACCTCCCTTTGCAGTTTAGCACACTCCAATCTTTAATGATGATATTTTCTCTCCCCTCGTTCACACTCCCACACACTAGAGATACTCTATCCTCTCCTGGGGCCCATGTATCCGCTGCAGATTCCCCTTGTTCTCCTTACCAGCCAGTGCCACTCTGGCCCTCTCATATGTCTGTCCAACTCTGAGAAGGCAAGGTGTGGCTGGAGGACGTAAGGACTATGCATGTCTTGCCCAATTTACTTCCTTTTCTTCAGTTGGGCCCTAGTCATCATTATCCCCATGCTATTCCAAATCTTCCTTCCTTCCTTAGTTTTTCTCTTTCTTTCTTTCTCTCTCTTTTTTCTTTTGGTTTCCCTCCCTCCCTCCTTCCCCTCCTTCCTTCTCTTTTCCTCCTTCTTCCTTTTTTTTTTTGTTTTAAGGCAAATTCCCACTATGTAGCCCAGGCTGACCTCAGCCTTCTGAGTGCTGGGATTTACAGGCCTGTAAGAAAGGCCCACCTTTCTTCTTTGCCATCTTTCTTTCCTTGCCACTGTCCCCTTGAACATGACCTTATCTCCTGCATTCCTGAGATGTTATGCACTTCCTTGCCCTAACCTCGACACATCTAAGTGGAGCCCTCTTCTCTAGGTGTACACAGAAACAGTTCAAGCTTTTGCATTTCCAGCTGCCGAACACTTTCATTAGCTGTCCCTCTGTCACTTCAAATCTAATAGGAATTGAGGCAGATTCATCTTCCTCCCAATTAGTTCTAACAACCTTTATGAAAACAGCAAGACCAACAACTTTGAAGTCTGACATAGCCTTCTTCCTCCTCCTCTATACCAAGCCAGTCACCAAGTGTTGTGGATTCTCCATAGTCACATTTGCATCTTATATCCATTTCCATCATCTCCATCACCTTCATAGTTCAGCTCCTCTTCACCTGCCTTTGGTTTGCTACAGTGATTTCTCTTTGCTTGCCTTCCCTGCCTCCACGTTCTTCCCCCTCCTGTCCATCCCAAATGTGGCTACTTGGTTAGCCCTCATGAGACATTGCTTGCATAACACACTTCCCTTGTAAAAACCTTCACTGATTCCCTGTAGGGTACCAATCAGAATGGAAACTCAGCAGGTACTCTCTCCACCCAGCTCTGATTCTCACCACTCCTGGTTTAGTTTGACTATTTTCACTGTGTAGTGTGAAACCCATGATCTTTTCTTTTTCCTTACTCATAGTTTTCTTCCAGCTCAAGCCTCAAAATTCCTACCACTCTACTCACTGGGGACACTTCTCTTTTAAACGTCTCTAGCATCTATGCTCCACGGTTTACCATGTCATTATATTGCACAATGCATCGACCCTATTTCATGTCATGGTTTGCTTCTTCAAACAGATCAGAAGCAACCCAAGGTCAGGACTGTCTTCTGCTCTATCCTGCATGGTTGGGAACATAGTAGACACTCAACAAATACTTTGTTGATTAATTTCCTATCCCTCCGTTGCACTTACAGCCAGTTCCTAATGAGTTATAATTGTTGTCTAATTGTTTCATATATGTTGATCTGCTACAAAGAGATAAAGCTGGGACAAAATGTGAATGCTTGAATTTTCTTTTTCTTTAAAAATAATTTAAAAAATAGGATGATGAAAGATTAACAGCGAGAGACTTATCTACAGTGACTAGGCTTTATCATACAATAGGTTTTCCTCTATACCTATCCAATGTAGCTAATATCTTAACATTTCTCAAAACTCAAGAACAGATAGAGTAAAACTGACAAGCAAGAGATCACTTCTAAAAGCCAGAGTAACAGAAGAATCTGTTTTTGCTTTATTGTGGGTTTTCTTTCTTTCCTTCTTTCCTTCCTTCTTTTTTGCAGTATTGGGGCTTGATCTCAGGGCCTACACCTTGAGCCATTCCACCAGCCCTTCTTTGTGAAGGGTTTTTTCAAGATAACTATTTGCCCAGGCTGGCTTTGAACCTTAATCTTCCTGATCTCTGCCTCCTGAGTAGCTAGGATTATAGGCATGAGCCACCCATGCCCAGCCAGCCCTTCCTTTCTTTTAATGAGACAAGATCTCACTATGTAGCCCATGCTGGTCTTGAACTCAAGATCCTCCTGCCTTTGCCTCCTTAGCACTGGGATCACAGGCATGCACCACTACACCCAACTGTGGGTTTTCTTTCATTGACTTCTACTGTCAGTGGAAAGTACATATCTCCTGATCATCTCTCAGTGGAGAGGACTGAAGTGGACAATGACAAAACTACCATCAATTCCTGGAGAGCTGAATAATATGGCACTTTTTGGTCAAAAAGGCCCAAGTCAGAGGAGAGTTACGGAAGATGTGTAGGTTTTGAAGCTAGAAAAACACAGAAATCCAATTCCTCCAGGCCCTGTAATCTTAATGTCTATCTACAAAGCAGCCAGGAAAAGGAGTATGCCTCTTTCTTCATAAATACATTTAAATGCATCTGAATTTTGGTTTTTAGCTGCATGGCTCCTACAACTGCCAAACATGAATTCCTAGTAATCTAAGGTTGTGTCACAAATCTCCTACCTAGCCTCAGGAGAGAGGAAGCAAGGCTGTCTAGAAAGCTATCTGCAGTAACCTGGAGGCACTCCTATTGCAAAGTTTATTCCACTGGCTTTCTTGCAAAGTGGTATGGCCAACGTCCAGGAGTAGAATGCTTTATTACTGAAAGCCACCCACTGAACTGTTGACTGGAAGGCACATTTTTAAATTCTATGTATTCTATTTTTATAGCTGGGATGAAAGACCCCCCCCCACTTGCCCAGCTTTTCTAAAAAAAATGCATTGAGATGGGTTCTTGCAAACTCTGGGCTGGCCTTGAACTATGATCCTCCCCATCTCAGCCTCGTGAGTAGCTAGAATTATAGGTGTAAGCCACTATTCCTGGCTCAAATCCTAGTTTTAGAAAAATGAATCTGGGAGGCAGCATACAGCAATTTTAAAAAATGTGAGAGAAAAGGCCCATGGCCAGGACAACAAGGTTGAGCTTTCTAGTGTTTGGTATGTAGCTGGGCTCTGATTGGTAACATCAGTATCACCACAAAGAGATGCCTGCTCAAGACCCCTGAGCCAACAAAGCTGCAAGCCAATGCATACAAAGCAGGCTCAGTGGCTTCATTAGTACACAGATGACACCTGAAGAACAGGAGAAAAATTGACCAAACTCTTGCCAGAGCCATATATTCTTCAGGAACATCACTGTCAATAATGGAAAACACATATTGCAGGAAGTTTTCAAATTACTAAGATTGTCATACCATTTGCCCAGCAGCATTCTTTAAAAAGCAGGCCTCCTTTAGTGAGGAATATCAATAGGCAATGAAACTTGGGCAAAGAAGAATCCACAGAGCACTGGGCGCTGCAATACTACGGAGGGATGGACAGATGGGAGTGGATATGACTCTGAAACTGTAAAATGACACAGCCTCTTCCTTTATACCAACAGGCAAAAGCACAAAAACAGAAGAAAATAGCTACATGGCAGAATATATCAGTTAGAAATATGTGCCATCCAAGAGAAAACAGGAAGCAGTAAAGTTTTTGCTTTGCTCGCTGACAATGCCAATAACATGAAAACAGAACTAGGAATCACAAATGGATAAAAAAAAAAAAACCTCACGTGTTGCTATAGGAGGGTGGTCATTTCATGTTGGCTACTGTTTTTGTGCATGTGTATATGATAATGGGGTTTGAACTCAGGGCCTTAAGCTTACTAGGTAAGTGTTCTACCACTTGAGCCATGCTTTAGCCCTTCTTTTGCTTTTTTGGAAAGGGTCTCAAATATTTTCCTGGGGCTACCCTCATACCACGATCCTCCTATCTACCCCTGGCGCACAGCTGGGATTACAGACATGTACCACCATTCCCAACTTATTTGTTGAGACAGGGGCTTGCTAGCTTTTTGTGTAGGCTGGCTTCCAACGATGGTCCTCCCCACCTCCATCTCCTGAACAGCTGGAATTACAGGCGGGACCTGGCATCACTGTTTGCTTTCTAAGATTTCAAAGCTTTTACAGATGAGAGAACCTTCTGGATATCCTTATTTTTAAAGGTGAGAAAATGAAGTGACAAAGAAGCGTAAGAACTCTCCTGAGGTTATATGGCTAATAAATGATAGAGCCAAAA